GTGAAGTGGTATAATGCTTGCACTATCTCCCTCAGAATCAGTGTGAGGAAAGGTCATGTAAACCTGAGTTTCATGTAAATGTGTTGTTCTTGTTGTTGTTCTTGTTCTTGTTATTGACACTAGCCTCCATCATTCCCTAATTTCCTCCCCTTTATAGACATTGTACACTCAAGAATGTTAGGAAGATTAGTGAAGTGAATATTCATTACTTGCTTTGAGATCCTGGAGAAAAATTATTTTAAATTTTCCTGCTTTTGTGTTTATATTGTTATAATACCAGAGGTATGATTAACCCAGTTTTAAAGGACAACATACCAAACTTCTATACTCATATCTTCTCTCTTTATGTTTCTCTGTCTGTCTCTGTCCCTGTATGTCTCTCTGTCTCCCTCTCCTTCTTTCTCCCCCTCTCCCTTTCCCTCCCTCTCTCTCCCCTTTTCCCCCTCTGACCTGCCAGTTAACCTAAACCTCATGCTATGTTACGTTGTTACTTATTTTAAAGGCGCATATTCTGTGTCTCAGATAAGGGCTATACATCCTCAACATGTACACACCCTGCTGCTTTACATGTAATAGATGCCAAATAAGTTTATGCTGATGGTAAAGCAGTGGCAGTAAAATAATAGATTTAAAGTCATAAGACTTGGATTCAAATATCCACTCCACTACTTACTTACTTGCCACGTGACCCCAGCAAATCAAAATTTACAATAATTTTCTCCAGGATCTCTAAGCATATAATGAATATTCACTTCTCTAATCTTCTTAACATTCTTGAGTGTCGAACATCTATAAAAAGGAGGAAATTGGGGCATGATGGAGTGTCAATAGTGTCAATAATACTCTCTTTGCTCCTCAGTTTCCTCATAGAGAAAATGTGAATGCTCATTTTTGCATTATCTGCTTCCAGACTTGTGAGGATTAAATGAAATCATATGTGTAAAGTGTTCTGAAAACTTTGCAGCGTCATATAAGTGTGTGCTGTGTTTATTTTCCTAAAAACTAAGCTGTCGTAATTTGTTGTATCTCGGCACTATTTTCTTGGTTTTGAGAAACTTGTGAGGCCACTCTGGATGATCACCTTAATGTTAATTGCACCACATAGGTAGCAGCATGTAACCCTACCTCTTTAGAGGACCTGTATGTAGTATTTGCACATAGCAAGCTATCACTAAATATTTGTTGACAGATGGATCTATCTGAATATGGGAAGGGTAGTCCCATCTAAAAAAGGTGTAACCTAGTTAATTGTTGATTACATACACTTTTGATATTTCTTCCACTTGCTTTTGCAACCTTATTGAAGGTAAATACAGTTCAGCATATAAAGAAAACATGCTGTATTTACAGAGTGTTTATGGTTATGGGTTAATTATAAGCTCTCTTAAACGTTTTCTATTCTGGCAAATGAGATAAGGAAAAACTTAGTATAAATTGTCATGTTCCGGTATCATTTTTCATGTAGAACATAAGAGCACACAATGAAACTTCATTGTTGAAATGGGTGCTGAGGCTTCCTGATATAAATCAAATTATGACTATAAACCATCTTTTGACTCCCACTTATAGCCATCTCTATGGGTGGAGCTCAAAAGATGAATTACTTTTCCTGTCCACAGAGAGCCAAAAAAATGGTCTTACATTATAAGTACAAAAAATAGTTATATTTAGCAAAAATACAGAAATACCACACTTTCGAAGCCTAAGACTATTAATAAGATAGCCTTTGCTTAATGAAAAGCTAAAACATAATTTTGGACCAGATATGTCTTTGTTTTGGAGAGCTCTGAAATCAGATTCTCCCACTTTCATTGCTCAAAGTAATCTCAACAAGAAAATGTGGTCCAACTTCATTGAGCAAAAGAATAATATTGTTAAATTAGTGTTAGACATAAAAGTCTTAAAGAATCTGTGTGCTACTCAGTGAACATACCTAAAATTTCTTGAGCATAAATGTATTACCAGCAGGTATTCAAATGGATTCTTATTTCCTGAAAAAGTTTGAGCATATTACTTTAGACAATTCCAGGGGATTGCCATTACTTAGACATATGTATTATTGACAACACTGGCACTTCATTAGGACAGCTTACTTGTCACAGGATATATATCTCCAACTATGATTTAGTGGAGAGGAGGGATTTCAAAAGACATTTATTGAAACTGGAAGACTAAGCAGAATAGTAACTGGCAGCTCTTACCAGAGACCTTAGTGTTTACTGTAAATTCTTCTTTCATTTTTTTTCCCTGAGTTCCTATGGTTATTTCAGCAAAATCTAATATAGAGAGTGTATATTAGCAAGCTTAGCATGGAATCATTTAAGCCTATTTTTTAAATATATATGTCTTTAGATGGTAATCATAAATTGTTCAATCATAAGGTTTAGTCAAAGCTGGCATGCTTTATTGATATCTTTCCCAAGGGTGCTGAAAATTCGATTGTTCAATGTGCAAATATGGTTCAGGAAACCCTTCCAAGAACTATTTATCAGAAATCCTAAAGAGGTAATATCTAAGAGTGGGTTAGGAAACCTACACATTAAATGGGCTTTGCCAGCCAAAGCCTTTGGAAATGCTTTCCTCTGAATGACTGGAATGGAGCAGAACAAAGTCAATTATTGACTGTAATTAAGAAGTGGATGCATTTAAACTGTAGAGAGCAGTAGCAGTCTTCTTGAAACTGTCTAGTTACTCTGAAGATTAGTACAAAGAAAGAAAGGGAGGGATATGAACTGTAACTCACTGATAGTATGTTTTGAATGAAGTTCATTCCCAGTTCTCTGTTCTATCTTTTAAAAAATTTATTCATAAATCACTGATTATGTATGATTATTAAACTAATATATTCAGACAAAGCAATGTACAAATGCAATTTGCTTTTGGTTGTATTAGCAGTAAAAGATACTCTCTGCATAGCATGCAATAGAAATGCTAATGCACTGATGAATTACTTGCATTTTACAAAGGTTTTGAATATTGGTAGACTGGGTCCTAAACGTTATTGGATCTTTCCTAAATCTTCAGAGTCCAATAAGGCTATTTATGTTTGTTAGTCCTATTTTGCAAATTTTATTCTCTTTAAAAAAATTAATAGTTATCTATTTATAGTGGCTGAGATGTAGTAGATGGGATCTTACATTATATTTAGTTTGTTTATCCATATGTACATTGATAAATTGTGATGTTACAGAATTCATTCATATCCCCAAAATATTTTAGTGGAAATTCATTTTAAAAGTCAAAGTTAAAAGTCTGTTATATAACTAGTTAACCAGTATTCTATTTACCTCATTGGTTACCCACCTGCCACAAGTTAGCAATTACCTAATTTTAAGTCAAGCTGTTTTGTGGCACTGCTTTATTAAGTGACTGGCAGTTCAGATCATTGGACAAACATCAGTTTAACTTTCTTGCAGATGAGATATGAAAGAAAGAATCCAGTTACTTCTGGTCATCCCTAACCTCCATTTCTTTGAGAGGATGGAGGAGAAAGAAAGAGAGAAAGGGAGAGTTTAGTCCCAGTAATATGTCTAAATTCCAATTTTGGAAAGTAAGTGCCTTCTACTACCCATATCCTTCTTTGTTGCAATTGTGTGTAGTATGGTGACACTTTTTTCTTCTTTGAAGTGCACTGCCTTGATAAGTGATCACAACCTGACAACAGGGTTTTTCGCATCATAAAAGGAATGTGACACACCAGAGAAAGTTGCTTGGTTTTTTTTTATTTGATTTTTTTTTGTTTGGTTTATTTAAGTAGTAACAAAATACACTTGGAGTTCTCTTAAGGACTTGGAGATTACTACAGTTAAGATTTGTCCCATTAATTGTAGAGTTATGTGGCATGACTTATTTTGGTCACCGAAGATCATTTGGATGATGGGTAGAATCATAGGCATTAGAATATAGTTTGTGATGCTGAGCACTAATGCCACATTTTAGTGTTCTGTCTTTTAAGAATATAAAAGGATTACTGACTCTTTTTGGAATATTTTCGAAAGTCAGAACTCAAGAGCCCTCAGGCCTCATTTGTGGTGTGATGTCCGTGGAGAAATGGTATGCAGAGGGGTTCATTTTAGTTAGGAAGCCCAAAGCTGATATCGTGAAGAAAATAGCTTCACATTTCAGTCTGATGGCCTAATGGAATGTTTGCATATCCACTATAATCAGATTTTTTTCTGAGTAGCCCTTTATGTATGAAAGCAAGGATATTTCTCAGTATCTATAAACCTGATGCTTCTGACCACAAATATGAGATGAAGGGGTGTGGTTGGGTGGGAATGGGAAGTTCACTGTGATAAAGGAATGCACATTTTAGCACTGGAAACATCAAGAACACAACAGAGCTAACTATCAAGGGAATGAATGTTCATTTGATAAATCTCCCCTATGTGAAGGTCAAAATATAAATGGATTTTATTTTACTGAACTCTCTTCCTTGGTAAATTGATTCTTTATTGGTTGCCTATGATTTTTCACTATGATAAGGGAAATAGAAATAGCCAGATGTTACTCATTTGAACACCTTTTTGGAAAAGTTTACACTAGTCTTTCTGGTAAATAATCTGTTTTGGAGTCCCTAATAAATCAAAATCAAACAGGAACATATTAGATTTGAAAAAGACAACAAAAGAGTAAAAAATAGCAGCATGGATCCTGGCCCACCCAGGTGCACCGGTTTATTTTTGGGTAGTGATTGAGGATACTTACTGTCTCTGAACTTTCTGATATGTTGCTGCTTGTGTCAAAAGAATGCTGTTCCAGGAGGGCTCAGTTAATAGTTCCTATTATTGAGATAACAATGTATCTGTTATGACAGGAGCAAACAGTTTATAGAAAGTGGTTCAAAATGGTCCTATTCTGGTTCCCAGAGAAATAATCACTAGAATACAAGAAAGTATTTCAATTTATAAAAGTGTGTGTTGCAAAAAAAGCATCATATTTTTTAAAAGTGTAAAAGATCTATCTTATGTGGTTTGCTTACCTGTCAATTTTTCCTCTAGATCACAACAGTATCAGGAAATGAGTTCCTTCTTCAGTCGGATATCGACTTCATCATATTGGATTGGTTCCATGCAATCAAAAATGCAATTGACAGATTGGTGTGTATTTGTTTTGGCTGTTACCTTTATTAATTAAAATATAGTCATTTAAACCCCTTTGCTTAGGGATATAAACCACATACATTTAAATAGCTGATGTAGATTGACAGATATTAATTTATTTTGAGCTTATGTATTCCAGAGGGGGAAAAATAGGTCCAGCAGAAAGTACTGTGGGACTAAATGTCATTTTATTCTTCCCTTTAAAAAGAATGGTGCAATTCATTTCTGTAAAATAACAAGGACATTGGCTTACTGGTGGTTGTAAAAAGCACACAAGCGCTTAATAACTAATGAATTTTTACATTTTCAGTTTATGTAGCCTATAATATATATTCTCAAATAGAAATATTAATATATTTAATCCCTTTATGCATTTCCACAGTGCCAATTTACAAAAATAGCACTAGCAAATAATATTCCTTTGTATTTGATTACTATTATTTTCCTATTGAGGCTGAATTTTTTTTTCTTTTGAAAGTAAGCATGTCATATTTCAAGAAAACTATTTTTAATTACCCAGCCAGATCTAGCTTTCAGTTTAGAAGGGTGATTCGTTCAAAATAAATCGATTTTCCACTGAAGCTAAATTATTTGACAAGATACTCATTTCTACAAAATCTTGAGAGTGTAGAAAAAAGCATATTATAGACATTTGTAGGGCAATCATAAGGGAAATTAAATACTTTTTGTAAAAATTTGCTGAGATTTATTTGCTTTTGATCTTGTCCAGTTTAGGTTGTAGGGGAAAGATAAAACTTTGAAATAAATTATGTCTTTATCCCCATATATGTAGTATGATAAACACAATAACATCTGAAAAATAAATGCAGGTATGAGGTTTGTACTTGGGCTCCTGCCCCATTCATTTTCCCATTTGAAATTTTCTTTTTTAAAATAAAATGAAATGCTAGAGAACATAATGTTACATTAATTCTATTTTTTTCTCAGACATACTTAGCCTATTTCTCCATATTGCCCACAAAATAGGATGAGAAGCTCTGACAAATGCTGTACTGCAATAGACAAACGCTGTCTATATCAGACCTAAGTGGTTTTATTTTGCTTTATTTTCAATCCAGCCAAAGGATCAAAGCTGTACATCAAGAAATTTGGAGTTGTTCAAAATCCAGAGATCCTCTAGTACAGAATTGCTGGATCATTTTGACAGAGAAATAAAAGAACAAAAACCTGAACACAGAAAATCTTTAAGTGAGTATTTCCTTTAAATTTTCCTTGTCAGTTAATTCTAAATGCAGTGCTTAGGAAAAACAAATCCTTCAAAATGGGATTTGGGGCCAAAGTCATCCTACACACATAAAATTCTTAGCAATTTCTTGAAAAGCCCTCACTGGAGGGCAGTTGTCTCTGTTTTGCTTGTGTCTTGTTCGTAGTGCCAATAGAGAAAATATTTTGTGAGGTCATGGTCCCTGCTTAAAGAAAAGCTCTGATTCTCTAAATGATAGCCACACTGCACAGGTCTGTGACTTATTCTCAAAGTGGGAAATGTCAATCATCTACTACCATCTGTGGGCTGAAGTTGGTTTGTCTGCTTATAAAGCTACATGTGTAAAAGCCTGAGGTGAGCGGTCTAAGGCCAGAATGTTATAGAATTTATCACACCACTAGTCAGAGATTCTAGGTCTAAGTCCACTGGGAGCTTCTGATGAACTATGTGATGCTACCAGTAGTCAAACTGGGGAGGTGTGGGTGAGAGATTGCATGGGCTGAACATATGTGACAAAGCGAAATAAAAAAGACTCTTTTGGAGTGACATAGTGACAGCAACCACAGAGATCACCTATTCTAATCCCCTGATATTTGAGGTTAGGACAATGAGAAATGGAAAGGTAAATGTTAGAGCCTGGACTGCAATGCAGGTCTTATATATACTGAGGAACTTCATAGATGCCCTCTGAATTAGTTCATCCAGTTGTAATATACCTCACGCTAGCTAATAATTATCTTTTCTAATAATTATCACAGAGGCAGTTTCATCACAGAATCTTAAAAGGAATGCAAAGATTACATGATCCAACCTTTATGGGACTAGTAATGCCTTCACCATTACTGACAAATGATCAAAAAGCCTGTAACTAAAATATTTCTATTGACTAAGAACCCATTACCTCTGAAGGTAGTCTATTCCATTTTGGGGTAGCTATTAGGAAGCTTTTTTGCCTTTATATTGAATTGAAATCTTTCTCTCCAAACCATTGGTCCTAATTCCGACTTCTGAGGCAAACAAAACAAGTCTAATTCCTCCTCCACATGACAGCCTTCAAATAGAAGACAAGGATATTTTTGGATCCTGACTCCAAAAGGTTAGTTATCCCTTCTAACTTTGTGCTGTTTTTTAATGCATGCAATGTACGCCTCATTGAAGTCATTAATAAAAATGGTAAGGCCAAAGTTAGATTCCCCGTGTCAGATCTGACAAAGGCAAAGTCAGATCCCTGGGTTTCTCAACTGAAATGCCAGAGACCTTCAACCTTACAATGAGTCTATTATTTTTTTTGGTCCCACATACCTGTTGGCATCAAATGACAAATGACTAATCTTTGGGTCTAGTCATTTAACCAATTGTGAATCAACCTAACTATACTATTTTGTAGCCTGTATTTCTCCTATTGACTACAAAGATAGGATGAGAAGCTTTGACAAATGCTGTGCTGAAACTGACAAACTCTGCGGATATCATTCTCCTGATCTAACAACCTATGCCTATCTTATTTTTTTTCCTTTGGGTTACCTCCCCTTTTTTCCATCCTTTATACATGTTTTTATTCTGTCTTATCTTTATCTCTAAGTTCTTCCTTCATATCATTCTCATTAGAATTGTTTTTCTTTACATCTTCTGAATTTTTTTTTCCTTAGGAGCTTTATTTTGTGCCTAGGATGACAAAGTCATCCCATGTGTAAAAATATTAGATCATGACAGCCGACACTTGGTATCTCTAAACCTTTTAAAACACATTCTCTACAAATGCAGAATGCATTTCATTCCATGTCACCAAGGTTTTTCCTCTATCACGAACTTTAATATAATATGATAATTTTCCCCCAAATCTCTGACAATTTCTCCTTCAACAACCAGTTAAGCTACAGTGGTCAAAATAAGATTCATAATAAAAGTTCCCTTGTGCCTTCCTCTACATTTTAAAGGATAGCACTATAATTAAAGTAAGACAGGAATCATTTCACTTCTCACCTTTTGGTAGAAAGTAAATTTCAAAAGATATGCAGATATTTGAAATGCTTTCTCTCTACTGTCCCAGGCCTCCATGTCAGACGTGAGAGATATTTCCCAGTCTCCTCATTTATTTCTTCTTACCATTTATTTCAATGCAACAAGCATTTATTAAGTGACCTCTATGTTCCAGACATATGACAGGCACTGGAGATAAGAAGACAAAAACAAGACAATCCCTGCCTGCAAAGAGCTTATATTTTACTGAGTGGATACAATGCGTATACAGACAAAGGAGGAAGGAAAGAAAGAAAAAAGGAAGGACAGAAGGAAGGAAGGAAGGAAAGAAGGAAAAGAAGGAAGAAAGGGAGAAAGAAATGAAGGACACAAGGGAGCATCTTCAAATGATATTCTTTTAGTAAAGTTTTATTTGTCACTCAGTACATAGTCCATTCAAGGAGTGAGGCAAACCCATATTCTAGGCTCTAAACTCTATGTTCATCTTTTTCTAATCTATATAACATTAAACATCATATCCTAAGTATACACTGATACCTTCTCATGGTAACAGCAATATCTACCTTAATCCCTGCCATGTAGGTTAGGTTGAGTCCCCTCCACCCTTGCTCCCCAATCTTAACAAAGAAAAGGCCACTGTCCTCAAGATTTGGTTGGTCCAGGGGACTGAGGCTTGAGCCCTTGAGCTTCCTTGTTGGCTAAGGTCATGAACAAAGAGTTAGAGACCCTTAGATTTGGCAAATATCCTACTGCCATGCATATCACCATATCCTGTCCTGCTGGCCAAATGGATTTCTCTATGGTAGCAAGCCAGAGAGCCCCTAAATGCTCAAGCCTTCGTCCTCTGGACCAATCAGATATCAGGGATAGCTTCCTTGCCTTTTAGGACAAAAAAATAGCTTATGTGGCTGGGACCCTGGTAGGTACTGCTCCCTCAACACATCTCATTGTCTTCTCTCCTCTGTTATCATTTCTGTCACAGTCCCAATCAGATCCAGTTTCCCCAGAGGGTCAATTTCCTTATCTTTTCCCTTAAAGACAGCCCTCCTCCTTACTTCCCTATTTCTGTCAGGGAAACAACCATTCTTGTGGCTACCCAGGTTTATAATCTAGGAGGCATCTTCAAATTATCACTCTTTAACAAAAAAGTACTTTTCAACTAATCAGTGAGCACCCCCTATCTATCTTAAAATTAAGCTTCCCTATGAACAGGTGAAGAACATATTTGTTTATTGCTTGCTTATTTCATCTTTGTTTATCTGATTCATCTTGAAGATCCTATAACCAACACATAGCACTTAGAACTCCTGCCCTAAATATTATTTCAATTCTAAATATAGATATGGGTGTATATAGATATAGTATATATATTTATATTTGTGTGCATATACATGTACTCAGAATATATGTATTTATATACACTTATATTTACATGTATGCATATAGATTATATGTATATATATATATTCACACAACACAATACACTAAATATAATATATACATAAACAAGTATGTGTATGCATTTGTATATATATGTATATATGTGTGTACATATATATGTATATATGGAGAGAGAGAGAATGAGAATGAATGAATGAATGAATGAATGAATGAATGAATGCATGAATGCATGCATGCACAGGGATAGAAGACAAGAGGAGAAAGTAAGTGTGTCCCAGATCAAAGGAACTAATTTAACCAAGGTATAAAAAGTTTTGCTAAATTTATTTGAAATCTATCTTGAACACACAAACACACATATATATGTATAAGTTGTTGAGATAAAGACAAAATTACTTTTAAAAAGACATGAGGCCATTGTTAGCATTTAACAGGTGATCATTTCATTGTTTAGCTTTAAAGTCATAGGAAATAAATGAATGTGTGTTTAACAATAATCTATATGTGTGTGTGTGTTTGATAATAACCAACCTGAAGTGCTTTAGTTTAAGCAGCAGGATTGTTAAACAATGATATGAAGTTAGATTTTTAGTAGAAAAAAAGAGACACTTATCTCTGATGGGCTTAGAATCAAACTCTCACTGAAAATAAGGAGATAGGCAAAAACCCTTTGAGAATCTGTTTTTGTATTCTTTGGTCCCTAACTATTTAACTATTTCAAAATTACATTTTATGAATTGTCATGATCAAAAGCCTCATGACCTGGTCACTAACTTACTGCAATGGGGATCCCTACCTTGAGGTAGACCGAGTCTTATTAAAATTACACTATTATTGAGCCAACATTTAAAGTCTTTCTACCTTGGTATCACCAAAGACATGCTTGCACTCTGCTGGCATAACTAAGAACTCAGGGTCAACTCCTTGACAAGATGAAGCTCTGAAACACTCACTGACTGCATCTGTCTCAGTGAACTCAGTTTCCTTTATAGTCCAGTGATGTCAAACTCAAATAGAAATAGGACCACTATTTTGTACATAAAGATCATTGTGGGCTACATATTGACTTAGTTTTAAAATGTAATGTTATCTGTGCTTTATTTTACTTTAATCTATTTTGTAAAGTATTTCCTAATTATTTTAATCTGGTTCAGATTGCATTAAGGAGTGTTGTGGCCCATACATGGCCCTGAGGCTACATGTTTGACACCTGACACATTCAATGTATAGTAAGCTGCAAAATGCCAGGACAACTCAATTTGTCACAAACTTGTTGGGCAGGCATTAGCTTTAATAACAATTTTCAAATCGTGAAACTGAGGCACAGCTCATTTAATCCATCTGTCCCATAGAGCATTTTAACAGATTACCAGAAATGGAATTAAAACCAAATTCTCTGCCTGGCCCATCTTTTATTTTCAAAATATTTACAGTTTATCTTTAAAGCAAGGTCTATTTTTAGAACTAGTTGTTTCTTTTTTCTTGGGTGGTCTTACTGTTTTAAGCACCTTTAATGCCAAGAATTATCTCTCGGTAAGGCAATATGGTTAATATTAATTTATTACTTTGGATAGAATTCACTCTGTTTTAATATATTCATTTT